AGCAGGGTTTCTGCTTTCTGGAGCAGCTCACTGTGGAGGCAGGAGTGGATGGAGCTGAGAGCCAAGCCAGCCTGGCTTTGCTTGCGTCCCTGTGCTGGGTGCTTTCCAGACAGGGCAGAGATGTGCTCCCTGTCCCGTGGGGCTCAGGATCGAAGCAGAAGACCCTAGACCTAAGGGTCTAGACCTAGACCTAGACCAGGTCCCTGAGCCAGCCTGGCTGGGTACCTCCTCATGGCACCAAGTATGCCCAGCCTGGGCTTCCTACTGTTTCAAAAGGGCCTGGGCCTGTGCCCCAAGCCCTCCAGGGTGCAAGGGAGATGGATGATTTGCCATAGAGGCATCAGTGACTCAGGAGCTGTAATTTCCAGGAGTCCCCTGGTCCCTTGACCTGCCCTGTGCCCATGGAGGGGCTTCCTTGGGCTGTCAGGTGTGGGAGCATGGTTACACAAGATCCCTGATGCCCATGGTGATGCCAATGAACGAGAAGGGCCTTTGGGCTTGGCACTCTATGAAAGCCAGCGGTTACCCTGGACTGGGAGCAGGGTGGGCTCCCTCCACTCGTACCTCAGTCAGCGAGGGAAGGCACGAGGCTGACACGAGACACGGGTGCTTTGTCAAGAACCCCAGCTCCTGGAGGCCCACAATTGCATCGGTGTCTCGGCCTGGATTCAAAAGGCAAGCTAATAGTCCGGATGGCTGATGAGGAGACGGGGAGCCCGGTGCAGGGCTGCATGCCTGAGTCTGCAGAGAGCCTGAAACAAGGTGGCAGAGAGGGGCGAGCTGTTCCATGTGGCTCAGCGAGGCAGGAACACTGAAGCCCACTGCTCTAGGGACCACCCGCAGCGGGACCTGGGTGTGGGAGGACGGGGGGAGATGGTAGGACCCAGCCCACTGGACAGACTGTGGCTGCTGAGATAAATGCAGAGCCCCACTCCCTGCCCAGCAGAGGGGAGAGGAAAGAAAGCCCCCCACACATACTGCTGCCCCTGTTAGGGGTTACAGGCTCCCTGCCACCCTGGGGCTCTGGGAAGCCTTAAAGGTCATTATGATAACAGGCCAGGGGCTCTTCTCTAGCTGAGCACTTCATTCAGGGATGGAGACGCTACAGGGCAAGGGCTATGGGACTTGACAGTAGCAAAAGACAAGCACTGACCAGAGGACCTGCCCCCACCCCACCTTTGCCCTGCCCTCCAGCCAGCTCCTGCAGCCAGGTAACAGGCAACTGCTGCAGGTGGGGGCCTAAGGGTCTGATGATCTGGGAGTCCCAGCAGTTCTCCTGGGCAGCTTCATCACTAGTTGCTGCTGGGCTCGGAGATCTAGTGCAAAGCCAGCATGGATGGGAGCACTTTGCACAGGGCATGGAGCATCCATGGAGTGTGGGTCCGTGGCAAGCTACCCCAGCCCAAGTACCAGCCCAGGAGCTGGCATCCAGTGGACGACAGGAGAGGATGGAACTGGCTAGCAGGGGTCCCAGGCAGGGGTCCAAGCTCTGGGGCAATGCTAGGAGAGCATTACCAGCTCAGGGACCTGCATATACCGGGCAGCCAAGTATTCCTAAGGAACAGGAGTGGATCCAGGGCAGGGGTACAGTCGAACCCTTTGATTCCTGCTCCACCCAAAGTTTAAAACCAACTGTCTGGCAGCAGCGAGGGACTCAACTGACTTCATAGCTCATTGTAAGCTACCGATTCTTTCTAAACACTTCATCCCATAGGTACTAACAGCCCCCTCCCCTTTTTAGTGATCATGATATTCCTCTACTCAAGCTAGCCTGTGTTCAACCATTCTGCTGCCTGTTAGCTGTTCCTGGTAAGGAAGCTCCTATTTAACAGCCTTGCAGACTGTTTTTAACTCTAGCTGAAAATATTAACTCAGGTATGGACATAACTATCAGTGAAGTGTTGGATGCACTACCAAGGTGCTCAGGAAGGCTGGATTTTATTTTCTGAACGTGAAAAAGAGTTGTACATTTCATTCTAATGACAATAGTGCTAATGAAGCATCTTTTGATTTTATTTTTTTATTTTTTGGCCTGGTTTGTTGTGGGTTTTTTATCCATAACAGCAAATTCAAGCACATTCTAATTACGTTATTTTTTTCTTTTTTTTTTTTTGCTTGAGTTTTAAATGAAATAATGTAGCCTGCAGTCCCCAGCACATTAAGAAAGCATCTCCTTTCTTTTTAACTGGGGAATAGATACATTGTGTTATATGGGGTGATGCACCACACCACCAGCACCCCACCCCCCTTTTCAAAAGCCTACATCTGCCCATGGGAAGGAGGATACAGCTGTTGGACTCAATGTATAGCGGTCCCTTCCAGCCATACTTCTCTATGAAAAGGGACTGGACAAATTTTTGGAGGAAAGGGGCATCCGTAGCTATTCAGCATGGGAGTAAGGGACACAGCCTCTGAACCAGAACTTCCTTGACCCCAAGTGGGAATGAGAAATGGCTAGATCTGCTGAAGAGGCCTGGTCCTGTATTCCTGGCTCTCTGCAAAGGGCAGAGAGGGATAGGCTAGAAACTGCATCCATCCCCCGTTAGCTGGGGTGGAATTGCTCACCCCTATGGGGATAGGTGCTGATTTAGTATTATTTGATGTAGCACAGGGCACGGGGAGCAGCTGAGACCAGCTAGGTGGGCATTAATCCCAGGCAAGATGACAGCAAAAGTGCTAGAGGATTCAGCAGTGTAAGAGTGTGGTCGACACAGAGAACTGGCCTTACCAGACAAACCCAGTTTCTTTTTGCAGGGAGATTGACTGGACAGTAGCCACAGAGGCCCGGGGCACTTAGACCTCTGTGAGACGTTTGCCCCTGCAGGACACAACACAGGCTCCTGATTAAAACAGCAGCGCTGTCCTGCATCCCCAAATGCACAGTCAAGGCATGAAGGACTGGCTGTCGGCCGGGCTTGGGAAGATGTCAACGGGGAATCATTGACCGGAGATCGTTACTCAACCGGAGGCAGTCCGGCCTGCCCGTGGGCAATCTGGAAGCAAAGGCACAAGCACTGTGGATGGACTTTAGCCAGATTCAGTAAGGATCAGACATATTCTTGGAGGAAAGGGGCATCAGTCACTATTGAGCACAGAGGCAAGGAGCACAGCCTCTGAATCAGAGCTTCCTCGGCCTTCACTGCCGGAGGCTGCAAAGGAGGGAGGAAAAGAGGTAAAAACTGCTCATGCCCAGTTCACTCTCCCTTTCAGCCTCCGCTCTCTGCCCCGGTGTGACACAGGAGACTGGGCACGATGGGCCTAGGTCTGACCCCATAAAAGGCAACTCTATTCTATGATTTGTATCAGCCTTGCTGGGCTCTACAAAGCCACACCCTCCACAGTGAATCAAGCTATCCCTAGCAAAGCAGGGCACTGGTTTCCAAAGCATGATCCTTCAGAGGAGCCAGGGACCATCTGGGTGCCGGGGACCCCAGCGCAGGGCTAATCCCAGCACCCCGGCCCCAACTACTTGGGGTCTCTAAGTACTGGGAAGAAGTTTCTCGGCAGCTAAAAGGGCCTTCTAGGGCCTGCAGCAGGAAAGCAGCCAGGAGGCCGAGAGAAAATCCCAGAGCATTTGGTTGTAGCCAGAAAGCAGAAGGGCAGAGCACGCCCCGGCCCCCTGCACTGCTCAAAGGAGCCCAGTCCCAACTCGGACTTGGATGCATTTTTTTTAAAGGAAACTTTTCATGTCCTGAGTCAAATCAATTCCAAATCCATGAGTGATTGAAGAACCATATGTGGCCTGCTGCCAGCAAACATCCTCCACCCCACCTGGGGCTTCAGATATTTCCAAATCCTTTGGCAAGTATCCTATGTGCAGGCCCAAGCCCAGAGGCTTGGGGTTCGGATGCCCCCGAGTTTCGCTTGCCCTCAGCTGCATGGCCGCAGGAGCAAGCTAGGGAGGAGTCTCCCATTTCCAAAAAGTCAGCGAATGAAGGACTTGTGCCTCCCAACTCTGGGGAGGGGGGGCACAATTTGTCAGTGGTGGCAGTGGGGTGGCGATCCACGACTGCCCGCAGATGCCAGTGTTGGGGGAAGCGAGGTGTGGTGGCGAGCACCGAGCAGCAATCGGCGACCACCCGCAGACACCGCCGGGGGCAGCCTCGGCATCAGCCCATCTCAGGGGCTGCACATGCACCTGCATGCACCCTCTACACGGTGCCAAGGAGTCAGCATATTGCTGAGTGCTTCCCACTGGAAGCGACAGTTTGTTTGGGGGTTTTTTAAAAGAAATGTTTCGTGTGCCAAGCCGAATCAAATCCAAATGCAAATCCGCGAGTCAGTCCAGAACCATAAGTGGCCCTACAACCGGCAAACATCCTCCACCCCCACCAGGGCCTTCAGATATTTCCAACGTCTTTTGGCGGGCACCCTGCATGCAGTCCCAAGCCCAGAGAAGCAAGCTCAGGAGGAGCCTCCCATTTCCATCAAGTGGGCTTTAAGCCCCAACACCTGGGCGGGTACAAAACCACGCCAAAAGAGCAGTTATCCCCAGGAACGCTTAAACACAAGGGCCTCCTCAGACCCAGATACATGGTGTTTCCCCCGTGGGAGGCTACTTATGCATTCCCTGGGGCAAGGTACTACCCCTGCCAAGAAAGGGGCCAGTCTGAAAACCCCCTTCCCGGTCGTGGGGTTTCCCCGGCCGGGTGCGTGCGTGGCGGGGTCTCCACTTGCTCGGGCTGGGTGGGATTTTCAGCCCGGTGTCCAGGGTCCGCAACCCGCGGAGACCGGGCTGCGGGGGAGCGGGACGGTGCACGGGGGACGGGGAGGGGAGGG